AATCATACATATTTTTTCTGGACATTTTTACTTTTTCATGTTTTTGAATATTCTTTCTTTCTCTTTAAAACTAATTTTCAGGTTGTTGTTTTTTGTCACCTTTAACTATTTTTTTGCAATTTGCTTGTTGGCTTTTTTCCCATATTTTTTGGAGAGAATTAAATCTATTTGCTCAGGTTTCAAAGGTTTACAAATGTGTGAAATGCGTCAGAATGCAGCACAAGAAAAACTGAAGCTGATTTAGATTTTAAATGGTTAAACCGTCTTCTTTTGTCCCTTTTGCTCTTTTAACCCTATGAAAACTTAGCAAATTGGCTTATTGCTTTCAAAAACATATGGAGAAAGTGATGAGCAACTAAACAAGAAATGAAGAGCGAAGAAATAAAGAAAGAAAGGGACTTCCTGGTTAAATTAAGGATAAATAATATAAAATACCTGAAAATATACAGACCTGAATTCACGCAGTCTCCTCTTAACAGTTGTTCTAGAGATGGGTCTGCTGCTAGAACTCTGTGTGGCATTCATCTGGTCTCTGATCTGAGCTGCTGTTAACTTGCGATTTCTGAGGCTGGTGACTCGGATGAACTTATCCTCAGAAGCAGAGGTGACTCTTGGTCTTCCTTTCCTGGGTCGGTCCTCATGTGTGCCAGTTTCGTTGTAGCGCTTGATGGTTTTTGCGACTCCACTTGGGGACACATTTAAAGTTTTTGCAATTTTCCGGACTGACTGACCTTCATTTCTTAAAGTAATGATGGCCACTCGTTTTTCTTTAGTTAGCTGATTGGTTCTTGCCATAATATGAATTTTAACAGTTGTCCAATAGGGCTGTCGGCTGTGTATTAACCTGACTTCTGCACAACACAACTGATGGTCCCAACCCCATTGATAAAGCAAGAAATTCCACTAATTAACCCTGATAAGGCACACCTGTGAAGTGGAAACCATTTCAGGTGACTACCTCTTGAAGCTCATGGAGAGAATGCCAAGAGTGTGCAAAGCAGTAATCAGAGCAAAGGGTGGCTATTTTGAAGAAACTAGAATATAAAACATGTTTTCAGTTATTTCACCTTTTTTTGTTAAGTACATAACTCCACATGTGTTCATTCATAGTTTTGATGCCTTCAGTGAGAATCTACAATGTAAATAGTCATGAAAATAAAGAAAACGCATTGAATGAGAAGGTGTGTCCAAACTTTTGGCCTGTACATATATGCTTTTATATATATATATATATATAAAAGCATAATTATAAGGCTACGAAAACCAAACGAATTTTATTTTATAGCGATCATACACTTGTATAAACATATTAATGGGTAGAATATTCAGATTCAGATTCAGATTCAGATTGACAATAAACCATGCCAAATATTACACACTGGCCCTTTAAGGCAGGGAAGCTTTATTTGTTTTACACATTTCTTGCACCAGGGCTATTCAAAGTGCTTTACAGAGCAATACAATTTAAAACATAATAAAAGACACAGATTTACAATAAAAAAAAAGTAAAGAGAAAAAATATATAAAAGCTAAAATGAATTACTAAATGACTTCAAGAGGTGCAGGGATAAAAAGATTATATAAATGATTTAAAATTGAGTTTAAAATGAGGTTGCAGTCATTACAGGGTGGAGCAGGCAGTGTAAAAAAGAAAAGTTTTCGGCTTTGGCTTTGAGTCGGGGCTGTCTCACAACATCTGGACAGTTATTCCAGGTTTGTGCTGCATGAAAACAAAACGCTGAAGGTTCATATGTCACAAGCATGTCAGAGATATATTTGGGCGCTGAGCCACAGAGTGATTTATAAACAAGCAGCAGGATTTTTAAATCAGTTCTCTGAGTGACAGGTAGCCAGTGTAATGATTTTATAACTACAGTAGTGAGGTCATATTTTCTAGTCTTTGTCAGGACCCCAGCAGCGTTCGAAAAGGTCTATGAACAGATCGCTGCTGAAATATAACCTACTGGAAATAAAGGTGTGGGTGAGCCTTGCAAATTCTTGCTTTGATGTTATTCCTCTGACTGTAGCAGTGTTTTTAGATGGTAGCAGACAGATGATGTTATGGATTTGATGCAGCTGTGGAAATTTAAATCTGAGCCCAAGATAACACCAAGGTCTCTTGCGCAACTCTTGGTTATAAGACAGAGGGCCTCAAGGTGAGAGTTAACGCTCTGTCTTTCTCTCCGCGGCCCAGAAAAGCGTGATAAAACTGATACTGATCCAGGTTTCAAAAGGTTAAAACAATGTCCTCTTTCATCCCATGATTCACCAGTTTTTGTTTTATTTTTTTGAAATGTGCTCTTAATTTTGGAGAAACCAAATGTGTATCAAACCTCAATAATTTTTGAGTCCCGGCCGAAATGTGTCCCAAACACTGGGTATCGAAAGTTGTCAAATACCAGCAGTTGGCTCTGAAGTCTTTGTCAGATATTATTAATTTATTCTTTGATATCACAGTGCCTGATTTAAATCATGATTTTGATTATTTTACTGTATTTCGCTTTGGCAAATATCTTGTACGGCTCTGTGTTAAGAGGACGAGGTGTTGGCCCTGATAGTGAATAGTGTCATTAAACAACCTGCCTCCCTGTGGCCTCTAGTTTTAAATGTGCAGTATATGTAGTGTATACGCTGCAGGCTCAAACTGTCACTACATTCATACATTGATGGCTGTGGCTACCATACAAGGTGCCACCTGCTCATCAGTTAACCATTCACACGCAGTCACACAGCAATTTGGGGGCAATCTGGGGTTCAGCATCTTGCCCATGGTTAATTTGACATGAGGACTGGAGGAGCAGGGAATCTAACTAATTAGTGGACGACCCGCTCTACCCTCTGAGCCACAGCCACCCCAGTCAGTGATGTTATTACAGATGTTATATGTTGACTTTTGGCTGCAGAGCACCTGCTTCATCAGGCATCCGTTTTCTGCCCCGCAGTGCTGATTTAGTGTTTCTAGGTGACTGTAATGGTTTGTATTTTGTTTTCCGTTGCACAGAGAACCTGTTGGGAGCTCTGCTGCGGATCAAGGAGGTGATCCGACTGAGGGTGGAAAGCAGCGAGGAGGAGGACACGGACGAGCGAGGGATGACCCAACGGCTGGAAGACATCCTCCGAGAGTCCAGCGGTGAGAAACACAACTACAAACAACACCTCATATCTAAAAAAATCAAAATACATACATTTTATCCCGTGGTGTATCGCTGGTAGAACTGTGGGAGTGCAGCTCCATGCTAACATGTTAGCATGTAAATGTTCTCCAGTTACAAGCAGTGGGCTTTATTTTATTCAACAGTGAAAATAGAAGCTTGAAATGAGTATTAAGTAAATTTAAATACCTGTGACTGATGCACTGATGCACATTAACTAGTTTCTGACTGAACTCTTTAAGTTAAATTTCTTGTCTTCACTGTGTGCAGTCCACTTAACTGCAGTTAACATGTTTATCACCAAAGTCGTAAATGGGACTCGTATTTTACAGTTTACAACAACGAAAGCAACATTACAATCACTACAACGTGTTTTTATGCCTCCGCACCGGTGATAGCCATGGCCGGGGACATTCATGTTGTCCGTGTGTCTGTGCGTCCAGCCTATTCTCGAGAATGCGATGTTTCAGAAATGCCATGAGGGAATTTCTTCAACTGTGGGACTCAACGATGAACTGATTAGATTTTGGTGATCAACAGAGGGAATCGCCTTGTTGTTTACAAATACTTCCGGGTAGAAAACCAGCAGAGTTTAGCTATATCACATTTTTCACGTCACTATATCACCATTTAGACTAATCTGATGTTTGTAAAGTCTATAAACACAATGACTGAACAAACATTACTATTTCTCTGTGCACATTTTGTAATTAATTACATGGTTATCGTAAATTAGCTGGGCTAACCGTTAGCTGTTAGCCGTTAGCGGTGTCTGTAATAACTCAGTAACTGAGTGAAAAAAATATTTTTTCCAGCAGATGTCTTAGTTACAACATGATTGAGCTAACTGGAGTAGTTTCATGTCTTATCCGACAACGGGAGGCTTTTAACAGATGACGTCCTGATGTTAGCTTTGCTGCTGCTGTTAGCTGTCCCTGTCAGCTGCAGCCACTGATGCTCTCTAGACATCGTGATTTCCCAAAACTGAATAAATACCACACATAGCAACACAAAACTGCTTTGCTAGCTCAATCATGTTGTAACTAAGATATCCACTGGAAAAAACATTTTTTTCACAGACCATTTATTGAGTTACTGAGTTATTACAGACGCCGCTAACGGGCCTAACAGCTAACAGTTAGCCCAGCTAATCTACGATAACCATGTTATTAATTACAAAACGTGAACACAGAAATATTAACGTTTGTTCAATCACTGTGTTTATAGACTTTACAACAAACATCAGATTAGTCTAAATGGTGATATAGTGACATGAAAAATGTGATACATATATGTATGTGTGTGTATATATATATATATATATATATATATATATATATATATATGTATATATGTGTGTATATAGCTAAACTCTGCTGGTTTTCTACCCGGAAGTATTTGTAAACAACAAGGCGATTCCCTCTATAGTCAAAGGTCAAGGTCACTGTGATCTTGTCTGTCTCATTCTTGTGAGCACAGTATCTCAAGAACCTCAACACCTTGGGGGGATTTCTTCAAATTTGGCACAAACGGGGGCGTCGGTGGCTTAGTGGATAGAGCAGGCGCCCCATGTATAAGGCTGTTAACGCAGCAGCGCGGGTTTGAATCCAGCCTGTGGCCCTTTGCTGCATGTCATCCCCTCTCCCTCTCCCCCTTTCACACTTAGCTGTCCTGTCTGTTAAAGACAAAATGCCCCCAAAAAATCTTTAATGGAAAAAAAAAATAATAATAATTTGGCACAAACATCCACTTCAAGAATGAACTGATTACAATTTGGTGGTCAAAGGTCAGCGGTAACTGTGACCTCACAAAACATTTTTAACTATGACAAAATTTCATGTGAATGTATAATAGGATGAAGTGATGACATTTTATATCCAAAAGGTCAAAGGTTGACCTCAGTGACATTATAATGTTATGCGAAAATACTTTTCTGGGCGTAATTCAGTGCCATAACAGGGACGGAACACTGGACACATTAATCTTGGGTGCCCACCTCAAAGATCGTATGTGCTGCCAGGTTGATAACGTGTGTGAAGCATCCATGTTTTCAGACATGGATGTAACTGTAACTGGTTTGAGGAGGCGTACAACCACAAGGCGACAATTCTAGTTTAGGTTTTGATATCTGTAGTTGTTTCATAAAACATGAAATATTCTGCCTCATTTATCTTTTAAGGGCTCTCTCTGTCACACTCTCTAATTTATTTCCATGACAACTGCAGGTCCTTTAGTTGCTGGGCGGACCAAAGACTTTGTGCAGAGGATTTTGGCGGCCAGTGCCGGCGGTCAGAACCAGCGCAAAGAGCCCCTGCAGGGAGGTGATGAGGTGGCAGGTTAAACTCCCACAGCATCCCCTTCTCCTCTTCCTCCTCCCTCCTCCACGCCTTCCCCTTCCACCAACCAAGCAACCTGACCCGACCAAGCTTCTTCACACCACCTCCACTCTCACGATGTACACATTCGAGTAAGAGTTAAGAGATGAAGAGGTGGAGATGCTGGGGAAGAAGAAGAGGAGGAAGGAGTAGCCTAAACAAAGCAGGAGTAAATTGCCACCCTCCTCCTGCTCCTCTCCTGTTGGCCCTCCAAAACAGCAGCCGTCTTCACCGCTCTGTCTCTGCAGGCTGCACCACAACCACCGCCAGGCCAGAGCTGCTGCTGCTGCTGCTGCTGCTGACGTCTCTGTATTCTGTGTTCTGTGTGTGTGCGTGTGTGTGTGTGTGTAAGGTGTGTAACATACTGTATGAGTGTATAGTGTTCCTCTCTCCCTCTGTGTGCTGTATTTGTATCCCAGTGTGCCTATGAATAGACATTGCACTGTTTTGTAGATGGTCGTAGTTGTCGGCAGGGGGCCGGTAGTGAGGCGAGGGCGAGGGGGCATCTGAGGATAGAGGAAGTGCTAAAATAAGGAAGTGGGAGGAGCGCAGGCCTGGAAGACAAAGAAGCGGGTGTGCGCTTTTTTTGTTTTTTTGGCCAAGCTCCTATAGAAGCACTGCATACCATTTGGATTGCATCGGCATCTGAAATGTCAGTAACAAGTGACGGAGTCCAGAGTCCTGATGCCAGACCAGCTGTTAATGGAAACAACAGCGTGTTTGTTGTGGAAAAGTCCTTGGAGCTTTAAAAACCCCCTCAAACCCCTCCTTCTTTAACTCCCCTTCACCCCATCAAAACGTAAGCAAAGTTAAAAACGAAAGAGAAAACTGCACCTTAATTCAAACTGACCAAAGATACTGCTGAACCACTCAGACACCAAAACCTCTCACTGCTTCAGATGCTGCCAACCATCAACACATCGTTTTGTTTTGGAAAGTGAGGGACTGAAATATTTTGATTGTTGTCATGTTTACCCGCATACATCCTCAGAGGATGACGTTACTGAACTTTTAATTCCCTTCACCTAAATGCACTACTATCATGGACCTGGGAAGCCGTGGTGTGACAGACAGGAAATGACTGACAGTTTGTTCTTTCGTCAGCCTTTTAGCTCTGCAGCCTGGTGCTCCTTTAGCTTATCTGCAGTGGCTTTATTTTTCCCCACAAAAGGGAAGTGTCCTCAATGCCTTCCCCGAGCCCTCTCCTCAACCCCTGACCTGATTATGTAGCGCACCTTCCTGAATTGCAATGACAAATAGAGAAAAACACTTGTAGATCTAGAAAGCAAATAATTTTTTTTTTTAATTATTATTATGATTTTGTTGTTATCTGGCAATGCCACAGCCCACACAGTGGGTGTCAGTCGTGACAGTTTTGAATTCTGCCTTTCTTCTGTGGTCTTTGCTGAAGCTGTAGACCAACCTGTCCAAGGTCTCTAAATGTTGTTGGACATAAAAAAAAGTCAAGGACCCTTTGAATTGCACTGTGGTAAGAGCAACTAAGCACCTTCGAAGAGGGCTTCAGATCCTCCAAAAGAGAAAAAAAAGACTCTTGGCACCTTTTGTCTAAAGACAGATATTGATTGAGAGGCTTGTTGTGGGCGCTCGGCGCTTTGTGACCGACTAGTCTCAGTTTGTTTCAGTTTGGTGCTACTGTATGGTGAAAAAATTTTTAAAAAGCAATGCAAACCTGAGCGGAGGCATCAGGCAGTAACTGCTGACTGGGTTTTGGCCTGCGAGCATGTACTGTTGTAATAGGCAGTTTGTTTGCATAATGACGCCTTTCTGAAGTGCCTGGAGCTTAAAGCCACAGGGACCTGTGTTATTATGCCTGATCTTAAACCCTATTACAAAGTAAAACGTAACCCATGACTACTGCTCCCAGCTTGGCCTCACTTGACTTGGAAGAAAAAAAAAACCCTGCAGGCCTGTGTTGGGTCCGATCACGTATTTAGCCAAAAAAAGTCAACCAAAATATTTTCCTTTTCAGATTCAAACCTATACATGGAAACAGTAGCTTGCACCGGTTTCTGTGAACACCAGCTCTGGAAAATATAAGTAGAGGAGTGGCTGTTTGCTAAGCAATCCCCTTTTGTTTTTCAACCTTGACGAGCTCACATCTGGGCTGCGTTCCAAAGCTGCTGCTCTATAACACGCTGTTCTCCTCCTATGGAAACTCCATTTCCTGTCTCAACTAGAAGGGGAACAGTGAACCTTAAACTCTTCACCTCCTAGAGGTCTCACTCGTGGTCATTTTGAAAAGCTGTGGACACAAGAGTTCAGGGCAGTTTGCCTTGCTCCTGTTTAAGTTTCTGTATTCTTTGAAATTCTGGAAAAAGTTGCTCATGGTTGCATGAGTATAGAACTGTACTGTAAACAGAGGATTCCTGTCATTCAGCTGGAAAGGTTTTATCGCGCTGGTGAGCAGAGCTTTTAAAGCTCTGATGCTAAAGACAGATAGTCTGATGCTCTGATGTCACTGAGGCTTCTTAAGCATCACCACAGAAACCTGGTCTGGGTTTCATGTGATTATTTTCCAGTAAAAAAAAAGACAAGGTCAAGAAAACTCTCAGCCTGTTTGGTTAAAGGTGCTCTCTGCACTCTTGCTCTCAAGGCTTGGGAAGCTGGCAATGCTGCCAGCAGTCACAGGATCGCATGCTGGCTGCAGCTTCCTTCACATGCCCTCGCGCTACAACAAACAATAAGAGAGGAAACGGCAGAAAACAACTGTACACATCAGTAATGTTTAAACTGTTCCCATCTGCCACGTTGAAGGAGCATGGGGTCTTTGGGTTTAAGAGGGATTTCACTTTGCATGCATAAGTTTGTCCTGATGTTTTCCTTCCTCCAAAGTGGTGTTATTTAACACAAAACACCATCTGCTGCGTACATTCATCTATATGCCAAAAACTGAGGACTGAGGAGAAAACTGTTGTTACACAGTGATTTCCTACCACAGATCCAAACGACAAACAAGAAATGACGCTGGATTTTACTCAACTTGTGAGCTCGTGTAAGGGCTTAAATCGATACTGTAGCATTATTCCTCTTTAGAGAAACACTTTTTGTATCATGGAATATCCCTTTAACTGTAAAGCTTTAACGGGGAGTGGCCAGTTTTTGGCAAGGCCACTTGCTCTCAGTTCACATTCCTGACTCACTTTCCCAGAAAGTTTCTGTTTATGTACCTGGAAGAAGGAGGCAGATATGTGAGGGGGGAAACTGGAATGACCCAGAGATGTCTGCTGGTTGGTCACGTCTCTGTAGCTGCATTCACGGGGGGGAGGGGGGGTCATTACAGGGTGAGCTCAGCCCAGGTCAACCAAGGAACTGCTGGGATTTAAAGAATACAGAACTGATGCTCTCAGCTCACAAATTTAGCCAAGTCTAACCTAGTATGGATAATGACTCTGCAAAAACTGCATGATTCTTATCCGAGTCACTTCCTCGTTTGGTGTCGCCGTCTGCCAGAGACAGAGAGAAGTAAACAGTCCTGAAACTCACTGGCTTTTTCTGAGAAAGAGAAAGCATTTCTGTCCTCATAGTGAAAGCTGGATCCAGCTTGGCTGTTTTGGGGGGACAGTGGCAGCTTGAAACCCTTCAGACAAATATCTAAGTTCTTTAGGTGTCCAGTGTTGAAGTGCGTAAAGAAATCTGTTTTTAATGCTTTAACTTAAGTCTGGTAGCATTTGGCTGTGACCCACGTCTTCTGTGGAGTTACCTACCCCCTTATATGGAGGATGTACTTTCCTCTATATATAAGAAGTCGAATAATTGAATGCCCCCCAGTGTCCACTTAACTTGGCTGCATTGTCCAACGGCTGCAGGACATGACCCACTGCCACTGTAGCAAATGTGCCAATTCTCAACAATGTTATGTTAGTGTGGTAAATAGCTACAGCCAGTGGTCAGTTAGCTTAGCTTAGCATAAAGACTGGAAAAGGCGTTTTCTGTCCATTCCTAGGAATGTTGCGCAGTGGCGCATGAAGCTAAAAACGCTTTGTTTCCGTGGTATAATATTACCCAGATCTTCCACATTATGGGGCCCATAGAGCAAGCAGGCTAGAGACTCAATGACCACCGACTAGGGATGAGCAAACGATCAAAATTCATTATTCGATCATCAAAAAAAATAACGATCAATTATCGATTAATTGATAAGCGAGTATTTCAAAAGAGAGAAAACAAAAGAGTGCAGTGTGGACTGTCGACACAAGAGAGCGCAGCTGCCCCAGTTTTGGGGGCCCCAAAACTGGGGCAGCTGCCCCCAGGCCAAAGAGGAAGAATGGCGCACATGCGCAGTTCACCCCTGGGTGTTAACAACCGTTACCAGCCAGAGTTACAGGCTTCAGTTTTCAGCAAAACCTCCGTCTTTCAATGGCGTAGTGTTTTCAGAGGCCTCAAGGGAAGCCGCGATGAGAGCTTCCGTCTGTTTCTGATTTTTTGCCTGGCATAGGTCCGGTGGGGGTCTTGTAGGCCCGTCAAGCCGCCGTGCTTGCCGGGCGGAAGGGTCTCGTTGGCACGGCAACTCGCCGGGCGGGGGGTCTCTTTGGCACGGTGACTCGCTGGGCGGGGGGTCTCGTTGGCATGGCGGCTCGCCGGGCGGAAGGGTCTCGTTGGCACGGCGACTCGCCGGGTGGGGGGTCTCGTTGGCATGGCGGCTCGCCGGACCTATGCCAGGCATTGTAGGGGAAACACTGCGACTATCGATCAAAATTATTTGTGATTGATCAAAAGCCTTAACAATCAATCATCGATAATCAAAAATTGATGCCCATCCCTACCACCAACCGTGGCCGAGCAGCTAACTTCGGCCCGTTGAGCAGCTAACGTCTGTTTTAGTGCTCCGCTAATTTGAATGCGGATAAGATGAATGCAGCTCTTCTAGACTTTCGAAATGTTATCAGACTGAATGGATCAAATTCTGATAGGTAAACGAGTCATTTCGCAAGGGTTGGGCCCCATGGCATCACGTGATGGACCCAGAAGATGTAATTCCACTTTTGGCCACTGTTTAAAATTGGCTTCAAAGCCCGGCAATGTTCCTGGGGGCTTGGGGAAAAAAGCTCACCGGGCTCAGTCTGAAGATAGAAAAAAATCTATCTACCAGCACCTCTAAAGCTCTGAGTAACATGCTTATTGATCATTTTGGAGCGTTCTGGGCGGGACTTTTTCTTGGCGAGGCACATTGACTTCCTTTAGTTTCTGCTGGTTGCCTGGCAACCTTACAGTGATGACAAGATGCCACAAAGTCACTGCACCCAGCCCAAGTCCTCAGGAACAGTGCCCAGCTTCGAAGCTAATTCTACACAGTGGCCAAACTTGGAATTACAATTTCAGGGTCTGTCACATCCATTTGGCTCAAAAAGACTTTTTGCCATAGGCTTGCATTGTGAAAGAGACGTCTGTAGACCAGTGTATACATTTTTTCGAGTGTCACACTCAGTCCGAGAACATTTTAAAAGTCAGGAAGTGCCGCACGATTTAATCGTTTTATCTCTATTCAAGTTAGTCGCTTGGCCAGTGTCAATCGCTAGTGTGCCTGTTATATGGGCTCCATAGTGCAGGAGATTTAGGTACTTTTATACCGTGAAAATCAGACCTGGCTGTGGGATTGTTGAGCTTTAGAGGCTAGCTGTTTCCCCCAGTTTTCAGTCCTTATGTTAAGCTAAATTAACCGTCTCATGAAGGTAGTTTCTTTCGCAATGCAAGGGAGTGAATTGACGAGTCTCTCAAAATGTGGAACTGTTCCTTTAATGAAGCACTTTCATTTCTTACTGGCTGTTTATTTATGTCACTATTTCTCTTAAGTGTCTGAAGTAGAAGAAGGAATACATTATTTCCTTAAGCTAATATAATTTATTAACAAAATACTGATACAAACATAAGAAAACACAACATGCTGTAATACCGTACCTCCATAAAGTGTGACCACATTGACTGTCACTTTTTGGACTTTTGAACTGTGGCAGAGACGTGACAGAGCTGTGGTGCTACCGGAAGGTGATGCAGCCGTATCCAGTCGACATCTGGGGGTCAGTCAGACATCACAAATTTGGATGAAACAACATTTTTGATAATTAATTAGTCATTCATTTAAAAAACAAACCATTAGCTGTTTCCAGCTCCTGTTATATTATCTACAATTCTCTGTTCTATGTAATTATGACTTGAACATCTTTTGGTATTGAACCAAAACAAGCAGTTTAAAACCCTTAACTTGGGCTCTCAGAACTTATAATGGGCATTTTTCACGTTTCAAGACAAAACAGTCAGTAGATACACTGATTTTTGGTTACACCCTAATTGGCTGGAAAGGGTTTAAGCAGCTTCCTGCCTTGCAAAGAGGCATTTCCCTCCATTTGTGCCAGAGCTGGTATGCTTGGGTTAAGATATCCAAAGTCTAAAATAGTCCCTGCCTGGAAAACACTAAGTTGAGTTGAGTAAGGAGAAGCAGAAGCAGCGTTGGAGTGACGGGGAAAGGGAGAAGCTGTTGGCCTCCCCTCTTTACCACCTTTAATGTGAGCGCCGTGTGGTTTAAGGCCAGGCGTTCAGGCCTTGTGGGCCGGCGGGCTGAATAGACCCATCAGTAAGCCTACACTGGTGGGACGCTGCTGACCTCCAGGTGCCCGTCCCCACTCTGCCCCAGCGCTCACATTGTCGGAGACACTCGGGCTTCTCCAGTTTCAAAGGCGACGGGCCTCAGGGCAGAGGAGGCCGGAGGAAACAGCACTTAGCCGGGGCCTCGGAATAGTTTATTTGAAACCTCTTAATCCCCACTGCCTCTGCCCCCCTGTCACACTCTGACAGCTGCAGAGGAGAAGGAGGAATCGCTGCTGCTTGCCGCTGCAGCTTGCATCTTGATGCCCCCGTCTCCTTTGTCACTGACCTGGAAACCTCCATCTGGGAAGAAGCCAGATGAGGTAAGGTGTCAGTTTAGACCCACTGGTCCACATTGAGTTCTCTTATCAGTGAAGCTGAGGTGTTGGATGCTGGCTGAGGCCAGCTCCAGTTTGTGCCTCTCATGTTTCATCACGACACTGAAGTCACAGAGCAGACAATCTGTTTTTTATGAAATATAAATCTCTGGCGAGCTTTCAAAAATCCTGGAAATCCTGTTTCCTTAATCTTATATGAGCAATGAGATCCTGCATGTGCTCACAGTTTTCTGCCAAAGTCGAAACAGTTTGGGTTGTTTTACATGAGATTCTTTTGTATTTATGACTTGTTGGATCGGTGTTGGAAAGAAGCATAATTTAGACAAACAAATCTGATCATGAAAGTTTTTCAAATGCCGTTCAAAAGTTCCAACTTGGGAAACAGATCAAAAAATGTGGTGGACAGAACGCTGTTCCAATCAAAGTAGACAAAAGAATTGTCGATGGTTTGAATACCCTCAAATACCTTCCATTTTAAGGGAGTGATTGACCTAAATTAAAATAGATTATAATGTTTTTTAATCCTTAGACCCTTGCAATAAAGTCACACACAAAGTTTTAAAAGATGTATTACATTGCTGCTCTTCGTGACTGCTTTGAATTCAGGCAGCCAGACATTGTAGTGTTAAGGCCCAGACACACCAAACCAACATGAAAGAACTCATGCATTGCCTCATGTTGCCTGTTCTGTGGCCCAAAAATTTGCAACAAACACACCACAAACACTACAGCTGACAGCCAACTAGCGCATATGTTCTGTGGCGCGTGAGATGAAATGACCCTCCATACCTGCAGGCGGTGTTAGTGTGTAATCGTCACTTAAAAAGGGAAACTGGAATGACCGACAAGATGGATTCAGAAGTGAGTTAGCACATTAATAACACAACCCAGTGTTGACAGAACAAAGCGTATTTATCGCGCACCAGCAAACATTAACACAAACACAAATGAGTCGTTTCTGCTAAAGAGCTCGAAGGCTGACAAAAATAATCTCACCTAATATACCAAGGTTGTTTTGATCTCATGACCTCTTGACTCAACTGCCAATCAGACTGATTTCATTCACCAACGGGCTCTGCCTCCGACTGAGCATGCTGAATTGGCTGTAAAATGCCGACAAGGGCCAACATTGTGGGACACACTGCTAAAACTAGGGCGACAGATGCTTACCAACAGGCTGACATTGACCAACAGCCGACCATCTGCTGGGTGTGTCGGGGGAAAATATGCTCATATGCTTTCTTGCTGAGAATTAGATGAGAAGATAGATAGCAACCTCATATGTGTCCATTAAATATGAAGCTACAGGTTAGCTTAGCTTAGCATTAAGACTGGA